ACTTAAAGATCATGAAATTTATTACTCAAACTAAGTTTTAGTAAATCTTTACATTAATATGGATTTTCTCATGAACCAGCTGTCAGTTATGTTAAATGGAAATTGCCAACTTCCACAATAATTAACAATAATTACATTGTTATCTTACTTCCCTAACCTACATTACTGGTTGCCTTTGTTAGAAAACCTTGGAACAGTCAAGCTCAGTTGCCTCAAACGCTGTCAGAGACTTTTTGTTGACAATACTTTTAGTAGAAATTTCATGCCTTAGACAAACAAATTCAACACCTAATTAATCTTTCTTTTTCATGATTGTTGTTGCTGCTTTTTTTTTTTTTTTTTTGCTCTATTTTCATGACTAATTGCTGTAATTTGTTTTGCTGTTTTTATTCTTACAAAACATTTTTGTAAGAGTTCCAATACTTGTGGATCATCCACACACTTTGCAAACATTTGGCATGCAGACAAGACAGAGGTAGTCAATGTTCCCTTTGAGGAAAAACACCTTTTATATGACGTCTTCAATTTACTTTATTTGAAACTCTGATCTGAAAATATTTGTCAACAAGACTTGTTAGTAGTGAGAAGTACCAACCAAGTTTCCTTTCATAACTTAATTTCTTAAATGTCCCAATCACTGGATCTCCCAAAAAATATTACATCTTTTTATTTTTGGTGCAAATTACAAGTCCTTCTTTATATAAAAATGAAAAGTGCTAGTCACACTTCAATAATAACAGCTCTTAAGTTTACTTGTTGTTCTTCTCTGTCTGTCAGCTATCAACAAAATTGTTTTATACAGTGCATAACTATTTATGGACCAGAGTTCCAACGCACCTCTGTAATCGCATATAGCTACTCCTGTCTCTTGTACAAATGTTTCTCCTTTGTAAGACGCACTCTACTCTGTTGTCAATACTGCTTTAAGTTCAGTGGAAACGACTGACTGAGGAATCGAGATGGCGGTGTTGGAACGTGTTGCTGAACGCTTGCTACGGTTAAGCCTTGTAGATTTAGGTACTGATACACTGGGATCATCTATGTATCTCTTTATACTTCCGAATGTGTTATCCTTCTTTTATAAATATGAGGGTAAAAGACGATTTGTAGTCGCATTCAAAACTGTGATTAGCTTGTGTTATTTCTCACCTTTGCCATTAACACAACTCAAGTGAGTTTCGAGTCTTTGTTTCCTCGACAACTTTCGGCCACAAATCGTGCATTTGTAATACGATCGATTCTTGTCGATTATTTCTACATAGAGTGAGCTCACATCTTTATTTATATCACCAAGCTATCCATCTTCTAGAAGCAGAGAACCGGTCGGAGAAGTCAGAATAAAGTTGTGCGCTTATCTTAACACTGCAATCGGCAAGCCAGCGGATTCACTTTGCTAGCCAATGACAAGTCCTAAAAGATCCACGTGATCATGCCCGTGATCGGAAACAAAGAAGACTCCATTTGGCGCTCATCTTTGAATGTACTTTTCGTCGGTTGATCGCTTTTCTCAACTGTTTTGCTTAATATAACATTTCTAAAGATAGCTATTATTGTGGTTCAATGGGAAAACGAGAATAGCGTGAGTGTTGTAAAAGAGAAGAAAGTCGTTGGCGCCGTGGAGTTAAAAGAAGGGACAACAGTTGACATATGGACTGGTACAAACAAGGGTCGAGTGGCCATCTGTAAAGCTACGATTTTGAAAGTTTGTGGTGAGTAAAAATTGCGATATTCGTTACGAGATCAAAATCTTATAAAATAATAGATGTAGCGGGTTGAATTAAGCTTACATAACGCTCGGCGCAACTGAAACTAGAATAATTCTGAGAATCGAATCGGTCACTTGCATGCCGCAGTTTCTTAAGCTTATGCTTTACAATGAAATAAACCTATCAGCAAGGTTTCAAGATTCCTCTAGTCACGTTTGGGAACATTCAAGATTCATAACAAACCTTAGTACATAAAGAAGCCCTCCTTGGTAAAAACAAAATAATGTATTCAGCCCTTTTTTAGTAAAATCCATGAGAGAGATGTACTAACTCCAATATAAAAGTCACTCAATATAACAGAGATTTCTCAATTTGAGAATCCAATGAATGCCCTTTTCCTCATAGCCATCTTAAAAGCCTGGTCTGAGCTTTAAACATACATATTTTAATATATATATTTTTTTCAAATTCAGATGTCAAGGAATCCAGATACAAAATGGTCAAGGTTCTTGTTGACAACCTCATTCAAGGCCAACTCATCGTGAGCCCAGGAAAAAAAATACAAACAGTACAAACAGCAGCTAAGTTTGCAGTTTAGGATAACTTCATTCTAATTTATTGTTACAGTTACAACAAGATTTTAATCAAAAAATCAATTTTATTTGTCTGTAATTAGCCCTTCACTCCCAAGAATATAACTATATAAATAGAACTTAAGATATTGTATTTTATGGAAGAGAATCAACAGATTTTATTCACAATTTGTGTCAAACCAAATTTAATGATTGATTAGAACTATTTTATATGAATAGCTGTAATTGAGGATTAATCCGTATGAAGTTTTCAAGGAAAGAAAAATAAATCAAATTCCATCCTAATATTACCACACATTGATGTTAGTAATTAATCAAAAATATTTTACATGTAAGCCTTAATTAAGCTTCTAAATAAATTTCATTGAATACTTGAATTTTAGCTGGGTTTTTTTTAATTTAAAGTATTTATTTTATATCATTAGCCTCAAATTTTTGCTTAAAATTCCCAGTAATTCTTAAACATTCCTAAAAATTCCCAAAAATTCCCAGAAGTTCCCAGAAATTCCCAGAAATTCCTAGGAATTTTTTAGATTTACAGCTTTTCAGGGAAAGTCATTGGTTCTCTGAATTGGAATTCCTAGGAATTCCTAGGAATTTCGTGAAATCTGCTACTTTCGTGACTGCATGCATGTTCTTTCTTCCTTTCAGCCTGGACTGGGGGTTTTCCCATAAACTACAAAGCTACATATGAAGGGGCAGCTTCCAATTAAGTGTTATAAAAGTTCTCTTGATTGGGTGAGATTATCAGAGCACAAAGAGTTAAAGTTGTGTGGTTTGGACAATCCACAACTATTTTTCCAAATTCTGATTTTTTAAATTGAAAATCTTCCATTGGAAAAGCATTTTCTGTGAATCTTTTTCCGTTTCACCCTGAAGAAAATAACTGAGGTGCAAGTCTCCCGCTCATTTCTTCCAATAGTTGCTTCCAAATCGAACAGAGCAGCGGCTGTATGTCCACACGCCCCATATGCGTTATAAAAAGAAATAAAATGACAGGTCACTAATCTCCTATACCTTAAAGAGTCAGTTTATTCGTACATAAACCCAAAATATCAAACAAAATTGGAAAACCATTAGCTCGTTCGCTTGTACAGAAAATTGAAAAAATACAGCACACACATGTGACTTTAACCCGCCTTTATAAGCACAGTAAGCATAGGAAATGCTTCCAATATTTCTAAGCTCGACAAAGCCCCAGTAGAATTCTTTCCATCTTCGGTTTTAGATCTTTTATTTAATTTCACTTTGAACTGGAAATAGCGGTTTACCGGTCCCCATCGTGACCATCATCAATTATATCATAGTACTTCAGATCCTTCACATGCCCGTCAACAAACAAGCGAAAACCCTCAGGACTTTTATACGACCGTAAACAGTCTTCATCGTAACCATCTTTTCCAACCAGATAATGGTAAATGTCGGAAAATCTGAAGTCTGGAATACCAGTGAACTCATGAATCCAAAACTTATGAGAAAGTGGATGGGGAAGTAATTTTCCTCTTAGCAATGTTGTTATCGAACTAATAAACTCGCCGCGCTCCAGCGTTTCCTTCTCAAGTTCTTGCAAAGCTCTAGTAGTTCGGCCCTTTTTCTACTCTTACCGATTAAAGAAATCTGAAAAACCCTTTCTTTTAAAAACTTGTGTAGTTCTGGAACTTTCATATTTGTGAAGAGGGCACATTTCCTGCCATGTTCCCCCAGCCTCGACTTGATGTTAAAATTAGTTACCAGACCTTCTCGCGCAAACAATTCGAGACTAGCCCACATACATCACAATTTACGGTCAACACTGATGGAGTCGCTTTTGAAAAATCTCAAGAAACAAGTTACTTGTTCCATTTGCCTCGATACCTACACCGAGCCCAAAACTATATCATGTCTTCACACGTTTTGCTGTGAATGTTTGGAGAAACATGCAAGAGTGAGCCAGAAACAGGGAAAATTCCGATGCCCCGAGTGTCAGGCAGCGATCGATTTACCAGAAGGAAATCGCTTCGACCGTTTGCCTAACAGCTTTTTCCATAAAAGTCTGTTGAGTCTTCTCGCTGTTCGGCAGAGTGGCGAGACAGGTAGTATTACTTGTTATCAATGCAGCGCAACCAACCCTCAGATGTACTACTGCTTCGAATGCGGACGATTCGTGTGCCCTGACTGTTTCAACGCACATGAGCTGCTCAAGAAGTCTTTTCAAGGACACAAAGTCACGCCACTTCAGGACTTCAAAACAGAAGATTACGAAGCATTGTTAAGGCGACAACCATTTTGTTCTCAAGAGTTCCACGAGAGAGAAATTACACGGTTTTTTTGTTCGCAGTGTCAAGTTTGCGTTTGTCAGATTTGCATAGTCACGGATCATCAAAACCATAAAGTTGATCTTCTCGACAAAGCAGCACACAAGGAGAAGCATAACATCATGTCGGGTGCTAAATTGATCAAGAAAATGGAAAGCGAGCTCCGGAATGTCATTAAGCAGTTTGAAGAAACCATTTCTGAGCTGGAAAGCAATATGGCAACCGCTAAGCGAAGCGTCAGGCAAGCAGCTGAATGCGTGATCGCAGATATTCGAGAGCGCGAGCGAGAGGCATTACAATCCCTCGAGGCAACACGCGTTTCGAGACTCCATAAAATTAAATCGGCTAAACAGGAAGTGGAATCCTTAGCAAAACAAATGAGCTAAGCAGCTCAGTTTGCGGAAAATATGGTGCAGAGAACCTCAAGCTCGGATATTATGCAGAACAAAGAAACTTTAAGGACCAAATTTGAAGAGCTTCTGCAAGTTGAAGTTCCAAAACATCAGCAAACGACATTTATTAAATTCACCGCGGCATCTCAAAAGGAATTGAAATTGGGTTTTATCGAAGGCACTGAAGACACCACAATGGCAGCTAAATCAACTTTAGAAGGACTGGATCAAACTTTCCAGGCTGGTGTAGAAGCAGAGTTTAAGTTATGTCCAAAGAAATCTGGAGGAGAGATAAGTAACCAAGCTGATGTTAAAGGTCGATTTGAATTGCTGATTAAACCCGTCAAGGATATTACAGACGTGATTGTTGAAGAGAAAGAAAATGGCAATCTTAGGTTGAAGTTTAATCCCAAAGTACCAGGGGCCTACAACATTGAAGTGAAGATTAATGGCGATAAACTACCGACCTGTGAACTTTTTGTGATCAGTGAGTTGAAGTTAAAGCTCTTTCCAGGGGACAAGTTTGAACGGTTATATGGCATTGCTGTGAATACAGAAGGCCAGATAGTTGTGACAGATAACTTTGGCCACTGTGTTTATGTTTTTGATAAAGATGGCAACTGTTTGAGAAAAACTGGAAGCGAGGGTAGCAATACAGGACAATTTCAGTACCCTCATGGCATTTCGTTTTTTAATGACAACGAAGTCCTAATTGCAGACCTAGGGAATTGCAGAATACAACGACTTAATATTCAGACAGGAACTGTAGTGAAAAGTTTTGTAAAATTCGGTAAAGAGAAAGGAGAGTTAGGTAATCCAGTAGACGTTACTGTGGATGATATAGAGCGTATTATTGTAACCGAGAGAGAAAATAATAGGATACAGGTAATGTCAAAGGAAGGAGAGTCTATTTTCACATTTGGAGACAAAGGTCCAGAGAAACTTCATGGTCCAAGCTACTGTGTTCTTCACAAAAACATGTTTCTCGTATCTGATAAAGGAAAGCACTGCATAAAAGCTTTTGATCAGTCAGGAACATTCTTATACAAGTTTGGCAAAAAAGGGAATCAAGATGGACAATTTAACTTGCCGCGTGGTTTACTTGTAGACAGCTCCAATAATCTTCTAGTATGTGACACTGACAATTACCGAGTTCCACAGTTTTCTTTAGACGGTCGCTTCACCGGCAAAAGTATCACTCGATTATCTAAGCCTATGGCGATAACAAAAGCACCAGACGGGCGTATTCTTGTTACTAGCCATGATCAGAAAAAAGTGTACATTTTGAAATAGACTCTTTCAAAAGTGAACTTTGCTTCTTGAACCGCTCTTTACCTGTGTTTTGTTTTATTTTTAATGCTGTTTTATCACTTGTCTGGAAGAACTCTTAGATAATATCAAGACTTACAATTACACTTGGAGACAAAAACCTTTTGACTTGAAGTAGTTCAAGCCGCTTTAATCTTCTCCATCCGTCGTCACTTGGTCATCCATGTTTCTTCTCGGTTTATTAATATCCTCTTTAATTGCTATTTCTCTGATCTGAAGTTTTATTTGGTTTTTTTTTTTAAGGTCAAGGTATTTCTGTGCATCGTCGACAGCGATTTGAATAATCTAAACTAAGAAATTTGAGAGAGAGTCCTCAAAAATATCTCGGGTAACAGAAAAACTACAAGCTGTATATAAACATTCAACAACTTCGACTATTTTATAGGCTGAGAATATATGAGTAGAACACGTTAAGACCATGTGCTGCTTTTGGCAATCATTGATTGGTCAGGACCGATTAAGTGCAGGTTTTTCAATCTAAGAAAATATATCTTTAAGTAAGCTTTAATTCAAGAACAATTTACGATTGCATAATTTCACATGTATGAGTAATAAACAAGCACAAGAAATAAGGTGACAACTGTTTCAAATAATGGGCATCTACTGGGTAATTACGTCATAATTATAGGTGGTTACTGATTTTCTAACTAAGCTGAAGTGCTAGCTTTAAACTGCTTTGAAAAATAGTCCCAGGTTTTGTTGCAGATAATAAAACGAGAAAAATTAGAAATTCATTGAATAAATGAGATTTGAAAGTTTTATCTAGTTTATTTTTATGAATGATTAGAAAATAACTTTCAATATTAAATATAGGTAACATTTTGAAATAAAGTTATTTAAAAATTTCATTGGATACATCTTCTAAAAAATTGCAAAATCATCAGCAGCTTGGTTTCCCCGGAAAATAAAATAATAATTTGTCTACGTTTACAAATATACATGAATAACTATTGCGGACCTATTTCTGCTGCAAACCTTTGGGTCCGTTTGGAGAAATGGAAAGCATCCGCAGTTAAGACAACTGAGGATGATCCTCTTTTGGTTGAGATGTACGTCGAATGTGTGAAAGTGTAACGAGTTCGTTTTCATATAAACTCACCCACTTCCCGCCTTAAACGGGAAGCGAAATAGACTTGCGGCATGTGGCTAATTTACGTGCCTTCCTGTCTGACCTGAAGATTTTAGTACAAACTCTAATCCGCTCCCGATTTCCGGTGTTATCATGGCCAATTTACATTATCAACGCAGTTGACAAGAAAAAATCATTTTGATACTCTGTCCATTAAAATTATCAAGTAGGATTTTTTTTTAAACTGAAAAGAAAAATTGAAGCTTTGGTCGTGCTTTTTTTCGTTAAGGACCTTAATGATTCGACAGTTAATCAAATTCCAGGAATTGCCGCCTTTAACGGGGAGCCAAATAAACAAGCGGCATGTGGCTAATTTGTATAAATCAGCTTGCGTGCCTTCCTGTCTGACCTGAAGATTGAAATACAAACTCTAATCCGCTCACGATTTCCGGTGTTATCATGGCTAATTTACATTATCAACTCAGTTGACAAGAACAAATCATTTTGATACTCTGTCCATTAAAATTATCAAGTAGGATTTCCATTTTCAACTGAAAAGAATAAATTGAAGTTTTTGTCTTTCTTTTTTTTTTTCTTTAAGAACCTTAATGATTCGACCGTTGATCAAATTCTAGAATATTTAGAAGCATGCGTTAAAAAAAAGGATAAACAGATAAACAGTTGCATGTCACAAACGGAAGAGGTCATGGCAGATTTCCGTTCTGTTTTCTCGGAAATCTAAATATAGTATTAAAAGGCAGCTTTCTAGTTTTTCAAAAGAAAATAATTCATTTGCTGTTTACCTTATCTGAACGATTTCCTCGAAAACATTAGCGTCTTGTCTACTCTTTTAAATTTCTCTAGGAATGACTAGTCCATGCATGATAGACTCAATATAGGATAGAAGGGAATAGAGTCGAATGTCTCGCCAGGTAAAGCAAAAAACGAATTTTGGTCAAAGTTGTTGAAGACGTTGTGAGACAAATTCCCTTTCATGCTTTCATGAGCGATGGATGCTTGCCACAGACGAAGGAAGGAGGGGGAGGGGGTGGGGAGAGAAGGACTGACCACATTTTAAAGAAATACAAAGGCCAACACATTTCTAAAATGAGCCGTTTATACGCGTTTTGCAATTTTCAGACCCTCGACGTTCCTCATCTAAATATTTTCCTCCCATAACGCCCCCAAGGCTTTCCCTCCAGCTACAATCCATGAATTCTTTCGTTGCAACGAAGTCGACTGAGCCAAGGAACGTGACTGGCCAGAAATAGATCCAATTAAATGAATAATGTCTTCTTTTCTAGGAATCTGAAGCAAAGGCGAAGTGTTTAAATTGTTTGTAAGGATTATCCATCCTTATGTGGAGTTACCTGCAAAACTTTCTTTCCTCGAAATGCGCATCGATAACAGTTTAAGAACTTCTGGTGCGACTAGAATCAATTTCGTTCTATAATAAATTGAGTGCACGAAGCTTCGTTTGCTGCGTTTTTCCAAACCATATTTAGTCAAATTTTTGTCTTTAATTGCCTATATTTCAAGCAACTTTAATTACCCTGGGTTCAGTTGTCTAAAATCGAGGCTTCATCTCAGGCAACAACGTCTTTTTATCATTACAAAAAAGTCAGCTTAGTCCTGAAGTGCAATCGGCCAGAGGAAGTCAGCTGTCATAGACTTTGCGCTGTTTTCTCCGAAACTGAAACAATATCTCGGATTTCGTATGAATGTTTTGATAGGGCTCGTCCCTTTAATATAAGTAACACATCAGTTAACTACAGTTTAAGGCGATCATCATGAATCCTCTCTTGAAGAGTCTCAAGAAACAAGTTACTTGCTCGATTTGTCTCGATACCTACACCGAGCCCAAAACCATATCATGTCTTCACACATTTTGCTGTGAGTGTTTACAGAGACATGCAATAGAGAACCAGAGACAAGAGAAATTCCGATGCCCCGAGTGTCAGGCAGAAATCGATTTACCACAAGGAAATTGCTTCGACCGCTTGCCTAGCAGCTTTTTCCACAAAAGTCTGTTAGGTGTCCTTCTTCAAGCGGAAGATTGCGAAGCCATTGCGAGGCAACAACTGGACACTTGCTCGCAACATACGGAAGAAAGACTACGATATTACTGCTCCTCGTGTGAAGCGTGTATTTGTCCGCTTTGCGTCACCGAAGACCACCGAGGCCATGCGTTTGAAATGCTTGAAAAAGCAGTGCAAGAGGATAAGAAAAACATTATGTCGACTGTCGAGACCATCAAGGAAAAGGTAAACTTGTTTCGAGCACAGTTAGAAAAAACATCAGAGGATGTGGAAATGATTATCGCAATCGCTAAACAGGAAGTGTCGGAGGCAACTGAACACGTGATCACAAAGACGAGACAGCAAGAAAAACAGCTCTTAGAGTCCTTAGAAATAACATGTAAAAGAAGTGATCTCAAAGATCAACTCGAATTGCTAATAACACCCGCCAAAGATGTGACGAATGTGACTGTTGATGAGAAATATGACGGTAACGTTAGGCTGAAGTTTACTCCCAAAGTACCTGGGGCCTACAGCACTGAGGTGAAGATTAATGGCGATAAACTACCGACCTGTCCTATCACTGTGCAGGTTAAAGAACGTCAACTTGTCGTGGTCGGTGAGTTGAAGTTAAAGTTCTTTCCAGGGCACACGCTTGAACGGTTATATGGAGTTGTTGTGAATACAGAAGGCCAGATAGTTGTGACAGATAACCTTGGCAACTGCGTATATGTTTTTGATAAAGATGGCAACTGTATGAGAAAAATCGGAAGCAAGCGTAGCCATACAGGACAATTTCAGTTTCCTAATGGCATTTCGTTTTTAAATGACAACGAAGTCCTAATTGTAGACTTAGGCAATTGCAGAATACAACGAGTTAATATTCAGACAGGAACTGTAGTGAAAAGTTTTGGAAAAGAAGGCAGACAAAAAGGAGAGTTTAGCGGGCCAGTAGACGTTACTGTGGATGATGACGAACGCATTGTTGTAACCGAGTGGGGCAATAATAGGATACAGGTGATGTCAAAGGAGGCAGAGTCTATTTTCACATTTGGAGACAAAGGCCCAGAGAAACTTCATTATCCAAGCTGCTGCATTCCTTATAAAAAGATGTTTCTCGTATCTGATGCAGGCAACCACTGTATAAAAGCTTTTGATCAGTCAGGAACATTCTTATACAAGTTTGGTAAAAAAGGGCATCTAGATGGGGAATTTAAAATGCCGCATGGTTTGCTTGTAGACAGCTCCGAAAATCTTCTAGTATGTGACTCTGGCAATAATCGAGTTCAGCAGTTTTCTTTAGACGGTCGCTTCGCCGGCAAAAGTATCACTCGTTTATCAGACCCCACTTCGATAACAAAAGTACCAGACGGGCGTATTCTTGTTACTAGCTTTGATGAGAAAAAAGTGTACATTTTGAAATAGCCGCTCCTTACCTGTGTTTTGTTTTATTTTTAACGTAGTTTAAAGACTCGTCTGAAAGAGCTCTTAGCGATAATATCAAGACTTACAATTGCTCGTAGAGACAAAAAACTTTTAACTCGAAGTCATCAGCATGTAAGGTGACAACTGTTTTTAAAGATGTGTATCCACTGGGAAATTACGTCATAATTAGAGGTGGTTACTGATTTTCTAACTAAGCTTAAGTGTTAGCTCTAAACTTTTTTGAAAAATAGTCTTAGGTTTTGTTCCATATAATAAGGCGAGACAAATTAGGAATGCATTGAATAAAGACCTCAAAGTTATTTCCAGTTTGTTGGTATGAATGATTATAAAATAGCATCTAGTTTTAAATATAAATAACATTTTGAAATAGAAGTATTTGAAAAATGCATTGGGAAACATCACTTCAACAATTGCGCATGCAAAATTATCAGTACTTTGGTTTGAAAAAAAGAGGTTATGTCGAGTTCTTATATAATCTAACTATAACTGGCTTTTATGAAACCGGAGCTGAGGCAACAAAACTCCATACCTCTTCGTGCGACAAAAACAGTGATAAGCTGTGAACGCTTTCCAAACTATTTTGTGTTTTCCAAAATAGCAGTGTGTAGGGAAGAGTCATTAGCGTTGTAAGATTAACCCTCACAAATTTGAACATGGTTTTCTGTACTATTTAAAAGTTTTCATACCCGTAATCGGCTAAAATGCAGCGATTTTATGCCCACATAAACTTGCTTAAAGAGTTCTCAGTACGTTCCTGATTGCTCGGCGAACTTAACACTCATCCCGTGGAAGAAGCGAGTTTTACAGGGTTGGTTTTTAAACTTTGTGAATCGCATGTGCTTCAACAATTACTGCACTTACTCGCATTGCAGACCTAAGGTGCTCTTTTTAATCCTGCTGAAATGGTTTGATGGATCACTCTTTGCCGGAATCACATGACCGGAAAGGCTCGCATTTTTGTTCTTTCGTGCACTACTTTCGTGGTAGGATATAATTTTTGGAAAGAAGAAAAAAGAGAAAAGTTTGACGAGCAAATGTAGCGGTTTGTTTTCATCTCTTGGTTATGTTTACCCTTCCTAATGAGGAAAAAGGCATAAAAATAAAGTAATAGAAAATAAACAAATAAATTTATCAACAAATTTTAAAAAATTGTTGCATAAACAAATTAATAAAACGTGATTGGAATTAATTGTCGTCCCGTTTCTGCCACTAAACCATCAAAAACGTAGTCGCTTTGTTAAGTAATTGAATCTTTTGTACAAAACTAAATGGAACAAACTAAATTAAGTGCTAATTGAACGGTTAACATGATGGTAGATCTGAACTAACCTCAGATATTTCACTTATTGCCTGCTTCATTTGGTGATCGCATAATTTGTCTCCGTTTACAAGTATACATGATGAATTACTATTGCGGACCTATTTCTGCTGGAAACCTTTGGGTCAGTTTAGACAAATGGGAAGTAGCCGTAGTTAAGACAAGAGAGTATGATACTCTTTTGGTTAAGAGGAATATGTCCCCGACAATTTTTTTTTGTAGAGATCAACGTCCAATGCATGAAACTGTAATGACTTCGTTATATAACCACACCCACCTCGCTCCCCCCCCCTCCTCCTTACCCACGCTTCCCGCCTTTATTTCGCAGTTAGAACAGGAGCGAAATAAACAAGCAGTATGTGGCTAACTTGCATAAATCAGCTTCGTTTTTCAATCGGGACATTTTCTCACTTTGACACTCAACGTTGTAACAAACATCCTTCACAGAGAATGAGAGGTCCCAGTTCCGTGGCAACACGGCTGACCACAATGATTCACGTCCTTGACTCGACCCAGTTTCCAAAACACTCCCGAGGCGCTACTAGCGCTTAATGTTACATTCAACTTTGGGGGTTCGGCTGGCAGGTGTTCACCTGCGTTGCAGGAAAGGCTCTTCCTGTAAAGCAAAATGTAAAAATCAGTGAACGCCTGCGTTGTTTTAATTCACTGAGTGATTCACACGCGCGAGTGACATATCTTTCTTGATAAGCAATTCTCTGGAGTGTCGGTTATCTCGCTCGTGGAAAGTAGAGCATGTAGCAGATAATTTCGGGAGACAGCTAATATTTCAACAAATTTAGCAACGAGTCGGCTGCCTTAACTTCAACACATGAATGAATCATGACTTTATCTGGTGTCCACGGAGCGCTCAGACATGCGTGGAATCTCACAGATTAACGTGGATTTGTTTACACGAAGCTGGATTTGTGCAAACTCATATCTAGTAAGAACTTTCCGGCAGGTCAGCCGCACCGCGTACAATGACAACTAATGGTTTGTTTGTTTGTTTGTTTGTTTTTAATTTACAGCTTTTCTTAAGCAACCTGTGGGATTAAACAATAAAATAGCGACACACGAGTGTCCAAATCCCTATCTCCCAATTGTTATATATAAAGAAACGCTCTTTGTTTTCACTATAGTCGTCATGTCGTTGTGGTATTTTTTTAAAATTTGTAAAAACAGTAAAAATATTGGATTGTTTTTTTCTTCAAAGTACTTTTACAAAGAACAAAGGACTTCTTTTAGCCTCTGTTTGTTACTTCAAAAATCTGTCGCTAATAGTGCAAGGCACTGCAAGGCACAAGCTACAGGTTCTTAAGACTGTGCTAAGTGATCCATTAAGAAGAATTACGGCCACTTCGTTCCATGACCACTTCGTTCCAAACCACTTCGTTCCATCCTTTGGTCACTTCGTTCCACCAAGTATTCACTTCGTTCTAAAGAATAGTCACTTCGTTCCAAGTGTAAACTAAGCGTGTAAACTACTAATCTAAGATTTTTTAGAGAATTCGAAGCTGTTATCTACTTTAGTCTTAATAATAAATTTTAGCGAGGGTTGTAATGACAATCACCGAAGAATATGTTTTCACGATGAAATCGTTTGTGTCGTCTTTAAACAGTCGGGTTTTTACGAACAAATCATAGATTTGCATCTTCTTTAGTGAAAGTAACGTATGATGAAAGTAAAGTATGATGAAAGATGGATCATATCTTATAAAAGGGAAAAATAGTGAAGCGCTTTGTGATCACATGGAGATGTTGTCGTGATCAAAGTTCTCTATTCTGGTTGATCAACGCGTGGTTTCACATCTTTCCGCGTTTATGTTCAATCTAAACATGATTTCGCATATTCGTCAGTCTGATAAAAAAGTAAAGCGATGTTGAAATAATGAAATCAAGGTTTACTTTGGTCTGGTTGCTATGATCAACGTGTATACGTATAGTTGTTTCCGGTAGTCCCAGATTCCACGCACACGGCAGGTACTTCACAAGTTTCAAAATGGCCGTCACAACAGACGGCGTATACCGTTTACTAGTTTTGTAAGATTAGAAGTTTACACGCTAAGTTTACACTTGGAACGAAGTGACTATTCTTTGGAACGAAGTGACTACTTGGTGGAACGAAGTGACCAAAGGATGGAACGAAGTGGTTTGGAACGAAGTGGTCATGGAACGAAGTGACCGGATACCATTAAGAAAACTGCCAAATTTGACAATTACGTCATAGTAGATTTACAAACACACGAAGTCATATTCAGTCTGCCATGAAGAAGTTAAACGTCCTTTGAGAGAGTTTCGCGCAAAAAGTATGTAATCAAAGATCGAAATTTTTATCAAGGTTTTTGTTCGAGTTTATTTTCAAGTTACGATTTGCATACACCTTTTTGAAACAGCGAAACTTGCAGTAGATATGATACGAAAAGTTTAATGTTGGGGCAGTTCTTACGAGATTGAAGATAGATACGCTATTTTGCCATGAAGAAAATGTTTCGTCTTGAATATTTTTAATTTACAACCATATAGTAAGCTTTGAAGCCCTTTTATCACGTGCGTTGCGTTTCCAAGTTAACTTTAGTTTTAACATCATTGTTTACTTTTTCAAGAGTCGTTGAAAGCTTTTATTCACACAGGGTCTCAATTCACGAAATCCACAAAGGGTCATGAAATGTCACCATCGGTGTCGAAGCCCCTGTCTAATTTACACCACAAATTCGTATTCAACGGGTTTTAATTTGTTTATGTTTCATTTATACGTGCGTGGTACCAGTTCTAAGATGTCAGAAAACACAGAAACGCCTCTTCAAAGTCTAGTCGTATATGAGCTGAATCAAAAAGTTATAGTTCATATCGGAGTTAAGCAACTTGAGCAAACTTTCTTCTCAGTAAAAGCAAAGGAAAGCATTATCTTTTTTTTGAACCGTAACCCAGTCACCGTGTGTATCTCGGTGTGACGTTCCTCTTAAAAGACATTGTAGTTGCTTACCCAGGCTCACTCGTGTCTATTGATTCGAGATGCTACCGAAATAGATCTGGGCAAGACATATGCCACAAACCTCCTTAAAGAAAATCATCAGCTAATGATACTTTTAACACCAAAACAGTCGAGTGGTCTTATTCTCAGAGAAAGAGAGGTATCCTGTGTAGGCGCACACCAAATGAAATGTACCCTGTTTACCCCGCGCGAATTATTAGCTATTCAAAATGGCGGTGCGCGTGAGGAATTTTGCGGTATAAGTTTTCATAGGGATCGAAGCAATTTTGGAAGCTGAAAAAATGGGTTTAGACCTTGACTTGGTGTAAACTTTCTGCTGCTGGTTACAAAAGTATACAATTTTTGGAGTGATCTCGTCCTTTAAACAATTAGAACTGAATCAACAGAATGTAGTGAAATTTTATCGACACCATGAACTGCCGTTAAGCAGAAGGAACCTCGAAATGAGAGCGTTCCTTTGAAGGTTAACACCAACAAAGTAAGAGCGAGGACAGGAAAAAGGATCCTCTTTTAGTAAGAACACAGAGAACACAGATAATAAAGAAATGTTAAGGATGGAGAATTTTGATAAGAGCAATTGTTAGTGTTAGGCTAAAAAAGGTCGACAAAATGTTTGAATTCTAATTATGTCTGATCGTATGGTGTTCGTTATCACAAAAAAAAGAAATAATACTGATAAAAAGCGACGCTGCAATTTATAGATCTATCGTCCCGCTCACTTCAATTTTGCCAACATACATATCATTTCACATTTCATGTAACCGGTTATTAAAACAAAGTTTAACAGTTATTAATTCAAACTGCGTTCTCAATAATCAATCTTCAGTCAAGCAGATAATATCACCTAAACCTCAAGATTCTGCGAAATTGTTGAAAAGGCTCATGTCTAGCACTAAAAGAAAAACTCACAGATGATCATGAAGAACTTTCAAAATCAATTGACGATCAAAAACAGCGGTCCGCGTTTAAATATCCGGCACTATCACTTTTCAACATATGTTTAAATTCTCATAGCTTTAAATTTAACACTTGTTAACCTTGACCATTTTTGCAGACTTTCCAAAAATAAAGCTCTCAGACAACAGGTTAAGACTCATTTCAGATAGACAATATAACGTTACAGAGGCTTAACTGAGCTTAGGAACGTGATTGGCTACAGGCAACCAGCTGAAACTGACTTTGTTCTGTTTTCCAGGAATCTGAAATAAACTGATCATTCAATTTTGAACGTCGCTTACATATATCGTTTTTAATTATTGTCAATACTGATGGAATCGCTTTTGGTAAATCTCAAGAAACAACTTACTTGTTCGATTTGCCTCGATACCTACACCGAGCCTAAAACTATATCATGTCTTCACACGTTTTGCTGTGAATGTTTGGCGAAACATGCAAGAGTGAGCCAGAAAAAGGGAAAATTCCGATGTCCCGAGTGTCAGGCAGCGATCGATTTACCAGAAGGAAATCGCTTCGACCGTTTGCCCAACAGCTTTTTTCATAACAATTTGTTGAGTCTTCTCGCTGTTCGACAGACTGATGATGCAAGTAGCATTAATTGTTGTCAATGCGGTGCAAACAACTCTCAGATGTACTACTGCTTCGATTGCGGACGATTCATGTGCCCTGGTTGTTTTAACGCACATGAAGTGCTCAAGAAATCTTTTCAAGGACGCAAAGTCACGCCACTTCAAGACTTCAAAACAGAAGATTACGAAGCATTGTTAAGGCGACAACCGTTTTGTTCTCAACAGTTCCACGAAAGAGAAATTGCACGGTTTTTTTGCTCGCAGTGTCAAGTTTGCATTTGTCAAATTTGCATAGTCACGGATCATGAAAACCATAAAGTTGTTGGGCTCGACAAAGCAGCACACGAGGAAAAGGATAACATCATGTCGGACGCTAAATTGATCAAGGAAATGGAAAGTGAGCTCCGGGAAGTCATAAAGCAGTTTGAAGAAACCATTTCTAAGCTAAAAAGCAATATGGTAACGGCTAAGCTAAGTGTCAAGCAATCAGCTGAACAAATGATCGCAGATATTCGAGAGCGCGAGCGAGAGGCATTGGAATCCATCGAGGTAACACACGTGTCGAGACTCTCTAAAATTAACTCGGTTAAACAGGAAGTGGAATTCTTGGTGAAACAAATGAACCAAGCAGCTCAGTTTGCGGAAAACCTGGTGCAGAGAACCTCAAGCTCGGATATTATGCAGAACAAAGAAACTATAAGGACTAAATTTGAAGAGCTTCTGCGAGTTGAAGTTCCAAAACATCAGCAGACGACATTTATCAAATTCGTTGCGGCATCTCAAAAGGACGTAAAACTGGGTTTTATTGAGGTCACTGAAGACTCTGCAAAGGCAGCTAAATCAACTTTAGAAGGACTGGATCAAACTTTCCAGGCTGGTGTAGAAGCAGAGTTTACGCTATGTCCAAAGACATCTGGAGGAGAGATAAGTAACGAGGCTGATCTTAAAGGTCGAGTTGAACTGTTAATTAAACCTGTCAGGGATGTTACAGACGTGATTGTTGAAGAGAAAGAAGACAGCAAACTCAGATTGAAGTTTACTCCCAAAGTACCCGGCGCCTATAATATAAAGGTGAAGATTAATGGCGATAAACTACCAACCTGTCCCATGACTGTGCAGGTAAAAGAACGTGAACTTGTTGTGGTCGGTGAGTTGGAGGTAGAGCTCTTTCGAGGGAACACGCTTGAATGGTTATATGGAATTGCTGTGAATAAATAAGGCCAGATAGTTGTGACAGATAACCTTGGCAACTGTGTCTATATTTTTGAAAAAGATGGCAGCTGTTTGAGAAAAATTGGAAGCAAGGGTAGCAATACAGGAGAATTTCAGCACCCTGAGGGCATTTCGTTTTTAAATGACAACGAAGTCCTAATTGCAGATTACGGCAATAATAGAATACAACGACTTAATATTCCCACAGGAACCATGGTGAAAAGTTTTGGAAGAAAAGGCAAAGAAAAAGGAGAGCTAAATAATCCAGTAGACGTTACTGTGGATGATGAAGAACGCATTATTGTAACCGAGTGTGGAAATCATAGGATACAGGTGATGTCAAAGGAAGGAGAATCCATTTTCACATTTGGAGACAAAGGCCCAGAGAAACTCCATCATCCAACCTGTTGCATTCTTTATAAAAACATTTTTCTCGTGTCTGATGGAGACAACCACTGCATAAAAGCTTTTGATCAGTCAGGAACATTCTTATACCAATTTTCTGTTGTTGAAGCTTGCACCGCTAGCTGTACATGTAGAGTATTGATCTGTAGTTTTTGACGTTTGACGATTCTGTAGATCCCAATGAAGGCGAGAATTGATAATCAATAAAAAAATGCCCACGCCGAGAGCTACGAGGAAGAAATAAACAAAAGGATTTAAATAGTAAATTCCCGAAAGAAGTAATATCAATAACCAAATTATCGCTATCGAGTAAACTGTTCGAGATTTCGTCACAAGAGATGGATAACGCATATTGTAGTGAAGAGCCAAAAATCGGTCGACACTGATGGCTGTTATGGTGCAAAGAGAAATCCCACATGCGGCAAATGACACCGTGAACTACAAACTATCCAGAAGTTTATTTCTTGTAAGTACAGAGGCTATATAAAGTGGTTGAATCAGTGTGCCAACAAAGAGATCCGAAACTGCCAGGCTACAAAGAAGCAGAATAGACGATGAACGAATTGATGGTGTTTTAAAAATGGCAGCGAGCACCACAGCGTTGCCAAATATGGAGAAAATCATCAGTGGAACATTTAAAGCACTATTAATGATGACGGTAATTCCCGGTTGAGAGGAGTTTTTCGCGACTTGTGAACCATAAAATCCTGAGCTCCCGGGCATGTTTAAGTCTTGAAGATGTTCTATTTCAGACCTTCTTGTGCTCCAGAGACAAGCAGCTGGCGCTTATCTCTCAACTTTCGAACTCAGTTGAAGTGTGATTTTGTAATATCATTATGTCAAGTTTTATGACATTTGATATCTATGTATGGTAATGACAAAAAAAAAAAAGCCAAATTAAGTACAAGAGCAATATGCGCTTCGATAGCTAACTTACATATAAAAAAAAAGTTTCGATTTTATTTAAAATGCATTTTTACACCTGGTTTCATTTCATGAAGATTGCTTATAAATGTCAACAATTTCCTGGCGTAATTATTACAGGGGAGACAAACATCTGACAGAAACGGTAAGATACCAATCCAAAAGTAAGATATGCTATATGTTTTTATTACTGTTTGTTCAAGTCTATCATGAACGGAAATTTTGCAAGAAAATTTTGGTACCTGCTTGAATCCATCAAAAGAACAGAAATAATCAGAAAGTAAAGTCTGTTCATGTAAATCAGTATTACTTTCAAAAGAGAACAAATTTTTGGTAAAATTGAAACGGAAATAGAGCCCTTAGATGGTATCATAAAAGTGACAACCGAATCACTCTCGAAACCAGAGTTACTCATCACTGCGCATGTCAGAAAGAGACAAGCCTTTCGGATCATGCGAAGCAATACAAACCAAATTCATGGGAAAATAAATACAGAGTTATTTTAAAATTTGAAGGGCACCATTCCTAGTCGCTTCAAATTTTGTTAAGTGGCGTTAAGTAAAAAAAAAGGCTTAATAACAGTCTCATTGAACAATCAAATTCTAAATGTCTTTATCTTCGAAAAAAAAACATTGAATGACATCTCAGCAGACATACTCATCCAAAGAAAAATTTTGACTAAAATTATGTAGAAATCGAGTAATTTACACGAAATTTGCTTATATAGTTTCGAAGAATTTATTAGCCTTCCCGGAAGATTATTATTCCAAATTACGTTTTTTTAAAAAAACGTAATTTGGACAGGCCTCGCTGTGTCTCCGTGTATACGATACAACAATAAACGCAGGTTTCTCTATGATGTTACACGATAAGATGGACATCTTAGACAGGCTCACAAGATATTGTGGTCTTTTGGTAAAGATGATTAAAAGAAGACCCAAATTCTACACACAACTCGTCGATGCTCAGGATCTGAAAACTTGATTCGAAATTCAGTTCCTGTTAAACCACATTGATCATTACATAATGATGATGCAGTTTTACTTTCAAAGCCATACAAAAGAAAGTAGTGATATTGAATTCGAAAGGCATATTTGTCTTTTGTCAACTTTTCGCTTTTAACCATATCTTTATCCAGTCATCATTTCGGAGAATTATTTCAATTAGTTAAAGTCTGAAAGGTTTTTTTTTTCTGACGGATAAATCTGCGAACGAAGGTACAGCACCTGTTCAACTGCGTTTTCTATCTTCTATTTTACTTTAGAGTTTTTGCTTCTTTGCATCATCTCTTTTATTTTTCCTCTAAGGCCTTGGGTAAATTTTTGATGTTTCTAACATGAAAGTTTATATTCGCATTTGTGATATTAAACACTTAACACATTAAGACGCAGGTGGCGAAGCTTGAATTTGTGAACGACCAAGATATATTGCAAATTTACCCTTGTAAAGGAAACGCATTTTCCTTCTCTCCTTCGATTTTCTCAAGCTGTTACACGGTGGCCTTACTTAAATTTTAGACAGATGAAAATGACGTTTTAGCCCAATTTTCACAAGTAAGGTACTTTAACAATATTCACTATTCACTTTTGTTATGCTAAAAACTTTAATAGCAGTGGCATGGAGTTAGATGTAAAATACAAAATAGGGGTTTACTAATTACGAAAATATCATCATTGAACACCGTATCTCATGGAAAAAAACGCAAGGGACGTTTGCTTGATTAAGATTGAGAATGAGATTGCCATTCGCGTCTTGCGTATAATTGTTTTGCAAATGGACACCCACAAGTCCAAAATTTGTAAGTTTTGTTGTGTGAATATTTTGAATTGGAAAGAGCGAACACACAAAAAAAGCCGACAAATTAAAGGCAAAAATTATCATCTTTTCATTCTCCATTCCCACGTTAATTTAAAAGAAATACCAATTAAGGAAAGGAAGTCGTTACAGATATTAGGACTTTGAGAAATATAGCATTTTCATTGAGGTACGGGTGCCTTTAATCATCCTATTCATAAGTTAATGAGTATTTTGCTCATTACAAATTTATGAACTTAACTTCTAAAAGGCGACTTAATTGAAAATGACAAATTTACCGACCAAGTTCTATTCAGTGAGGCACCTTGTCTATTTTTCGGTGGTAGTTTAAGCTCTCGAGGAATCCAGATGGTCAATGTTTCCGCTAAAAGACTAAAGCAGCGTCGTCGAAGATGTGCAACGGAAACTTGAGTACCACTGGGAATTCAGCTGATATCAGAGTCAAATTTCAAGCAAATGCATCATCATATGGAAATATTGTAGCCATAAACTGCATTATAAACGGGATCATGATGCTTGTCTCCATTCTAGGGAACTGTTTGGTCTCCATCGCCACATGGAAGACATCATCACTTCGGTCTCCTTCCACAATGTTTCTTTTTAGTTTGGCTATTTCTGATCTTCTGGTCGGTTTAATAGTTCAGCCAGTTTACATCGCCAAATCTCTAATAGATGTGTATTTCCTTCAAATTCTTACAGCCCTGATGGCGTTTGCTGCATGTGGGGTATCGCTCGGCACAATGGCCGCCATTAGCCTTGATCGATTCTTGGCCCTCCATTATCACTTACGATACAACGCATTGATGACGTCGTTTCGTGCTACATCTGCGTTATTGACCATATGGATTACAACTTTTCTTCTATCGTGTTTGATATTTTGGGACTCTTCAATCTACATTGCCGTTTTGACCATTTTAATCAGTGCGTATCTGATAACCTCGGCTAATTTTTACGTTAGAATTTATCAGATTGTTCTTAAGCATCGTTCACAGATTCAACATCGAGAACCTGGTAATCAACAGCTTTCAGTCGGGCAACTCTCTAGTCAGAAAAAGTTGATCGAAAGCGCTCTGAGCACGTTTGTATTTTATATCTGTACTGTTACTTGTTATCTACCAAGGTTTATCTCATTAACACTTACAGATACTAACACATACAAGAAGACAGCTTGGATCTTGGCGGATACCCTGATATTTTTGAACTCAGCTATAAATCCTCTTTTGTATTGTTGGCGTCTAACTGATCTCCGTGCTGCAGTTGTTAAAGTATGGAGGGAATTTTTCGGCATGCAAAATTAAGGGAAAGACACTCATAACATTTCTGCTTTGGATGCATTCACAAAATATTCTTCGTTTTGACTAGTTCAGTCTTCATATTTTGTAACAAACAATAGAAATTTTCCATCCCTAAATAATGCAACATAGACTAGGAAGCAAGGGGAGGGTTTGGCAAGGAGGATATAACCCCTTAAAACAAATGTGTGGGGCAAAACCTCTGAGTTTAAGTGCAAAAAATACCACTCAAGCATTTTCTTGCCTCAGTGGCATTCTGTATAATTTTGAAATTTATGGTTCCACTGGGGTTTTTGGCTCGTACTAACAGTTTGTAAAATGTCGGAATTCTTGTAAAAACAGAATTAGACAAAAATAAAACAATAAAAGTAACATCGTTCATTGATTTGGGAAACTATTCCTTTTATGATGTATCGATGAAATGTTACTCTCACCTGTAATTTTGTCAAATAATAAGGTTGAACGTGTTTAATAAAAAGAATAGCCACTCCTCCGCCACATAATGGAAAAAATGCGCAATAGTACCCAGTGGTCATTGGACCCTCAACACCATGACAACTAACTGTGATCCAATGAGGCGTTCACATGCTGATCACGCGCGTTATCTTGATGATGATTGACGTTGTCATGCACGGACAGGGCCGGGTCACATGATGAACCACGAGATTTTTGCTTATAAAACTCTTTAGTCAGTAGTTTTGTATTTCAACGTGTTTGGATTACGATCACCTGGAGCATTATGGCGCAAACGCTCAAAATACTCACACTCAGGTTAATTAAGGCCTGGGTCAAAAATGATTTTCGCCTCCAGTGCCCCCCCCAGCAAGGTTCGCGGAATTCGCGTGGACTACGCGAGTAACCATAGTTACTTGGAATCAAGATCGCGTAGTTCGTGAACGGCATCCGCCATTTTGAAGTGTCGGCTTTGCATTGGTTTTTCCCATCTTCGATGGTGAATCC